GTTCTTATGATTAAGGTTTCAGCCCGGTTCATGATTTTTAATGATATTTTCAGTTAAATTTCCGGGATTATTTCAGTTCAGTAAATTCATGTCCGATCAGTTCATGTCAGTTCAGTTCCGGTTATTCCGGTTAAAGTCTAAATATCATGTTAAGTTAAATAGAGCATCTTAACGAAATTAATCAGTTAAGTTAACAGTCTGAGCATAGTCATTAGTAATTGTTTATATTATTTTCAGTTTGATCAGGCATCAGCACTACCGTTCAGTTCAACAGTTCAGGTGGGGACTCAGACTAAGTACTACATTGATTATAATTACGGTACCATGTTTGAGGTATGTATTTCATTTTAGGTATCCGCTCGGAATGGTCGCCGGTCCATTCTGGGTTCTAGTGGCCCTAGTCTGCCCACTAGAGTGTGCACATGGTGTCCGACTTTGCCGGCAGATGAGGTAACGGTCAGGGTCACGTTTGCGTGACGATTTCATGTTCATGTTATTACCGGCTTGAGGTTGAGGTTGAGGTTATGTATATACTGATATCATGATGTTGTTATTATTTTCAATGTTTACATTAGTATGAGTTTCCACGGAGCACAGTGCCATAGTGCTCATTTCCCACTTTTATCATGTTTTTCAGGTCAGGAGGTCGGGCTGGGAGCGTGACGTGATGGAGGCTTCAGTACATTTATGTTTTTGACTGTATATTTATTATCATGACTTACGCTTCCGCTGACGATGTTTTTGATGACTATTGACGATGTTTTGATGACGTGTGACGTACTCATATTTTGACGAACTTACCTTTTGATGAACTTTTGAGAAAATTTATGTTTTCAGTAACCGGATGATTTTATTAAAATTAAAATAATGGGTTTTCAAATTAAGTCACGATTTTAAGGTAGCACCCCTAATCAGTTTTCGCAAAGTAAAAAGGCTTTATTTTTAAATAACTTTGCGAAATTTTCGCACTCTGATTTTACGATAAGGAGGGGTGTTACGCTCCCTCTCATTAAAATCCCTCCCCTACCCTTCCATTCGCTGAACCAAACATACCGTAAGTGTATTTGCTTCTACTAGTGTTCAATTTTATTTTATGAGTAATGCTATACAACCCACTTGGACGATAACATGTGTTACAACATAAGTGTAAATACATTATTTTTTTAATTTTTTTGACAATGAATTTACACTTGGGTTGTAACCCAAGTTGTCAACTAATTGGGCTAAATAACTTTACTCTAATGGAATTAAGGACACCCTCTATCCATTTTAAAATACTTATTACCCTCTTGTAATAGACAATGAGTGTTTCCTCAATTACTCCTTTTTATTCCTATAATATAATAATTTTTTTAAAGCCCATATTTATCCTTTAAAATATTCAGTTTTGACGAAACAAAATAGCAGTTACTATTCTCTCTTATCTCCTGTACAAATATTTATCTTCATTCTTTCTCTTTGCGTTTGTTCTTTTCATCCTAAATTTCTTATTCTGTTCTTTTTTTTTTCATATATTCTTTTCAGTTTTCATCCTAAATTTCTTCTTCTATTCCTTTTTTTTTTTATTTTTTATTTCATTTTGATGGTCCTATGTTTCTATCTCCCTTATCTATACCGCTAATTTTGCTAGTCATATGCGCAAAATTTTGGCAAGCTATGAACTTCCATACAATCTGAAGCATTACCATCCATTTCCGTGCAAGCGGATATCAGATTACAGAGTACAACCGGTTCGATTCGCGGAGCACCGAGCAGCTCTCGCTTCCATGGCTCGCCAGAACTCTGTGAGTCAATCCTATCCTGCTTGTCTGAGTCAAATGTAGCCAGTATCCGTGTTTCATGAAATCTCTATTTTGTTGTTTGTTTAGAGAAATAGAGGCGATTTTCTTTTCATCTTTATTTTTCTATCCGTCTTCTGGTTGTGTAGATTGAAAATGTGATGTAATTTTCGTTGTTTATAATAGTTGCTTTTATGTTGTTTCATACAAGTTATTGTGTTGTTTTGATATTGCTTATCTTGGTTGTTATTTTTATAATATATATTAACTATTTTTTATTTACAATAACAAATCTTTGTGTTGTTTTTCAGTTAA